TCAAGACATTAGAAGCAGATTGTTACGAAAAAAGAGCACAGCGAAGGATCATGACACCATATACAATAATCCTCCTTCACTGAAGAGACTAGAAGAAGATAAGCTGTTACTGTATGTACAAAGTTCGAGTAGCTCAACATCGTTAACGAGCTTCTTCTCAGCCCAAGAAGATATTTTGACGACGGAACAAATGCTTTTGAACAATTCAAAGCAATTAGTTCCGAAGATAACGGATACAAAAATTTGCACTAACGAAGATCAATTGAAATCTACCGATGACACTAATTCAACTCATTCGAAGGAAGGTTCTGCAATCGTTTACTTGCGTGCTTGCACTATCATTATCCTTCATGATATCAATGAAAACGCACAAAAAATCGAAGTCGCCAGTCTGTCTATGACAGACTTAGTTATGACTATAAATTCAAAAGCCAGATTTATTAATTTCGATTGTTACGTAGGCGACTTGCAGTTAGATAATCAATTATTCGATCAGGGAGGTTTCGATTTTCCCGTAGTATTAATAAATCAAAATCCATTGCCGAACAAAGATATGGCATTTTACAGCAATAACTGTTTAATGACGAATATGGAAAAAATCAAACAAGATTCCTTGATAGCCGTCGAGTATGTCTGGGAAATAAATGAAAACATCATAGGTATATATTTTATATTTATAAAATTACATTATTTTAATAAAAAATAAATATTTGGGTAACAAAAATTATGTTTTTAAGATAAATGTGTTATTTACATTAAAATAATAAAGTCAAAGTTCTAAGCCAAGCTGAGTTTTAATGCTAATTAAGTAACAACAATAAATTACAATAATATATTGTAATATATCAATATAATAATCATTAATTAATTGACTCGGTTGAATAAATCCAAAATGTGTTTAGTGCCTATTCGAGTATATACCAGATGTAATTGTGTAAATAAGTCTTTTATTTTATGTATATATATATATAATTATTTCATAAATAATAGTAAATATTTCTGTCTGTTACAGCATCAAAGGAATATCGCATGAAGATTGCACCTATTAGTGCATACATTGAGGACACGTACATAACGCAATTACTAGATTACGCGACTTCGATGATACCACCGCGACTGGTTCTGGGTGATAATCTTAAAAAGATGCAAACAATAGCTGCGTTGAATGCAATGTACATACCAGAGTATATCATGATCGATTCAAAAATCTTAAGCAAGCCACTAAGATTGCAAAACTTCGTGATAGAACCGTTATCAATTTTGTTGAGTGTTCACACTTCTATGCGACTCTACGTTGCTTTAGATCATTCCCCACTATACTTCGGTACCTTCGAAAGGAAGAACCTGCTGACAACTCCTTACAGGCTTGGCAATGCTCTTACCATGCATTATTTATCTGGCGCTATATTTGGAGCAGGTTGGTATAATATTACCTATCTCTATACATAAAATATTTTATATACATTATTAATTTGATATAATAACAGAGTAACGACCATTATCTATTTATTAGGTTGGGTAGTTGGATCATTAGAGATACTTGGATCACCGGGAGGTTTGGCGCAAGCACTTGGATCCGGTCTTAGAGATTTTGTTTCACTACCATTTCAAGGACTATTACAAGGCCCATGGGGTTTTATCGTTGGAATTACACACGGGTCAGCCAGTTTGATGAAACATGTTACAGCAGGTATGTAAATTATTAATATTTATTTCGTTGTTCCAAACACTTAATAGATAATTCATATTTCGATTTATGTACATAGGTACTGTAAATTCCGTAACGAAATTGGCATCTAGTGTCGCACGAAATTTGGATCGTCTAACATTGGATGAGGAACATCTTCAGCGACAAGAAGAGTCGCGCAGAATGCGTCCTCAAGGCATGGCACAAGGACTTTATCAAGGCTTAACTGGTCTTGGAATGAGTCTGCTTGGTTGGTAATTACTTAAAAAATATTTTTCAATTAAACAGAATACAATAACCAATTGTTGATTGTTAATCAGCGGCTGTGGCGGGCTTGGCACATCATCCTTTGCAGCAAGTGTGGTCAGGCGAAGCGACGACCAAAAGTTTAGTCACCGGAGTTGGACTCGGTTTAGTTGGTGTCGTTACTAAACCATTGAGCGGTGCTGCGGAGTTGGTTGCTCTTACAGGTCAAGGATTACTGCAAGGAGCTGGATGGAATTCATTGCCCACGGTAATAGATGTGTCTTCTAATTTCTACAGTCTTCTAATTACACATTTTACATAATTCATAATGATTTTCCTATATTTTTACAGCCACGTCAAAGACCAATCGTGCAGTACACTACTGGCAATAATAGCACATCTGTACGGTATACCTGGCGCTTGTCATCTTTACTCGATCACAGTCACGATAGTATCCTTCACGTAACCAGCGCAGACTACGTGATTCATCAAGGCAGTAATCGCGCAGTGACGCTCGTCCTTACGCGACAAGCTTTATTACTCGTTAACATGGCGGAGGATAGTGTAGAACGAATATTTTCGCTCAAAGAGCTAACAAGTGTTGATCATATTACAGAATCGACGATGTTGTGCTTGTATTGTCCACCAACAGCAATACAATTGAGTAGACCATTATCACCGGCTGAACACGAGGTAAGATACTAAATTCACGAACATCAGGTATAAATCACATAAATGTAATATAACGTTTTTCTTTTCTTTTAAGATGAATCAAGAAATGAGAGCACGAGTTGAGGAATATGTGCGGACAAGCAGCACTGGTTTGGCCAGTGTATCAACCAACAGCGACAGGCAGTCTGATACTTTTGAGAGAGCATCCCCACATCCAGAACATACACTTACGTTTTATGTTTGCCCAGACACTCGTAATTATTTATTATCGCTGTTCAACGTTGCCAAACGACAAAATCAAGGTTCTGGTTTCACCGTTTTATAATCAAATGTATGTTCAGATGATTATAATTAAGTGCAATGACTGAGAAAATATTCCGAATATTACTATATGTCAAAACAAATGCATTCAAATTCAATAGTCTTTTAAATATTGATGTATATCTTATTTTTTAAAATAGTATTTCAAGCTTATAAAGCTTGTAATATTATAATACATACAAACAGTATTATAATTAAAAAGATAAATTTTTTTTTAAAGTAATTTCCAATATTTCCATGTAAACATAATCAAGATTCCAAAATATTTGTATTTGAATGCCTATCTCCACTTTTATTAAAATATATTTGCACAACTGGCATTTTTATTTTATATAAAAAATATACAGAATGCTTTATAATATGTAGACCCCCCCTTCAGCAGTGGATGAAGAACAAAAGACAATGGAAAAAAAATGAACATGTGTCTTATTTGACCTTGTTTTAGAGTTATACTGTAGTCATTTTTGTGCTTCAGTAGTAATATGCTATTAAGAGATGCTCGAAATGATCACGGTTCTGATACTACTATCTGACAATCGCTTTTTAAACAAACTTTTATCTCGTAGGCGTTCATGTAATTTTTGATGAAATGTTTTCTTATCTGGTAGATGTCTATTAGAGAAACGATCTGCGTACAGATGTCTTATTTCGGATGAATTACATTTGACAAATCCATACATCAAAAGCAGGTCTATTACATTTTTTTTCTTGTGACTTGAATTTATTCATAATTACTTTCAACTCACGTCAAATTAAGGAGGCACGGCTGTCGCTTCGCGCAGCTTAGCGCCGAGACACTACCAGTGTCTCCAGATAAATTATTAAGCGTTCCAGCAAGAGAACAAACTGAAATAAATATACTCAATGAGCAAAATATATGAAATCAATAAGGTGAGAAATATATAGATGTCGAGCGTTGTTTATAAATATATATAAGTACAGAAGGTTGTTATTTCGAGCATCTCCTATGAAGACAAACAGCTGCACATATTACTGGAATACAAAAATAACTATAATTCTAAATTAAAATATGTAAAATTTCTAGCTCGAGATTGCTAAGATCAAAAAACATGAACATTTATTGGATTTTATAAAATAAATCAGTTTATTACAATATACATTAAGAATTAAACTAGTTTTTTATGTATAAATTAATCAGAAACGTTTCGACTGTACTAAGTCTTTTTCAATCCATAATATTCTTAATAATTAACATTGGAAAGAAAATACAATATATAAAAACACGAAGTCATATCACAGGTTGAACACACAATAAATTTGACATTATATACAAATAAAATTACAAAATTGATACATCTTTAACATCTTATTGTCAAGTGAGTTCAACTATTTCATTGTTGGATGGCGAGAAAAAGCCAGTCCAGTTAAAATTCTATTATTAAAGCCATCTTCAGAAAATTAAAATTATGAAAATCCAAATCAAAAAATTAAATATAAATATCCTGGATAAGCTATAAATATGTGCCTAAATATTGACGACTTCATGCAATAATATAATTCTAAATTCTAAAACAAGATTAAACACAGTTTATGATTTTTTTTCATTGTTTTTATGTCTCCCATCTACTGCTGAAGTGGGGCCCGTGTCGTAAAACACTCTGTACATTATGAATTTATAATATACAAATTTATTATATTATATAAATTTAACATTATAAACTAAACAAAGTATATAAATTATGTAAAATATTTATAATAATGTTGCTTATTTAAAAAATTCAGAAACGTATAAATTATGAAAACTACCTTCATTTTCAAGTTATCACATATTTTATGAACAATAAAAAATAAACTTATATGCATTATTTATATATATAATTGTATATGTACACATATGATGACAATATAACTTTACATGAATATAAGTTATGTTGTATGTGCCAAAATATTACAAACGATTCTATCACTCGAAATTGTCGTAAATTATATGTAATATTGATCTAACGATTCAATGTATTACAATAATATATTTTGCATATCTTTAACAAAATCTGGCATAAAATAAATACTAAAAAAATTGAGTTACATTGATTTATATTTACTCTATTCTCTCTCTCTTTCTTTGTTATCTATTTAAAATATTGTCATAAATCCGTTCAATCTCGCACGATTTATAAAAAAATCCACAAGATTTACACTGATTATTTTCAGTAGATAATAATATTTTTCTACATACCACGTGTTTACATGGAAGTCTATAAAAAATACTATTATTACAACATTCACATTTGTTAGATATTTCATGTAATTCCACTTTTTCTGGTGTAGTAAAGTGTTTCATGTTGGATAACAGAGTCTTTAAATTGCTATCTAAGAAATTGTCATTAGCCAATTCATCATCCTTATGATTTTGAAAATTGCTATAATGAGTCAATTTGGAAAAAGTTGAAACATTTGTGAACTGTCTTGGTTTTATTATAGCACTGGCAGTGGATCGTTTGGGCATAACTGCTATAGGCAGTTTATGGCAATATTTTTTTATAGGTTGCGAATTATTATTTGTCGTCTGCTTGTATGTATTTGATTTAATATCTTCGGCAGTCCTTTTTAAATTTCTATTTAATACACATTTTGGTACTTCAATTATTCTTCTATCTCCTGCTATAGTTGAAGTTGGATTGCGGCCTAAGACTCTTGGCATATTCTTGATTTCATTTCGATTGCTGTTGTCCATTAGAAACTTGTCAATCCTTGACTTAAGTGCAGATGCCATGACTGGTCTACGATCATCATTAAATCTCAAGCCTGTGAATGGATCTGATAACGGTCTACCCCAAATTGCTTCATTTTCTCCATGTTTCTCTAATGTGGTTTGATCTATTATTTGTCCACAAGGTAATATAATTGGCTGAGTCATTATTTCCCATGTGATAGGATCTAGGAAGCTTTCAGGAATGTCAATGGTTGCATCATTCTTCAGTCTGCATATGTGAATAAAAAATATTTATATTAATTAATAATTAATATTACGCAACTTATTATATAAGTATATCGCTCATTTGCTATAACACAAGTCGAAAAACAATATTTCCAGAAAATGAGTTTAAATGTTTTGAATTATTAAAATTTGGTAATTTTAATTTTGAAATACAAGTTTGATATAAAAAATTATTGTAAAGGAATAAAAGTGTATATTTTTAAAGAATTTTTTTTTCTTTTTTTCTTTACGTTCTCATTCTTTTTTACAAGCAACTAAAAAATTAGAATTTTTGAACTAAATTGTAGTAAATGAGCAATATAATTTCTAATTTACATATGTATACCTGTTATGTATCTCTCTGGTATCTGCAGAAGTAGTGTTTACAACATTTACAGAGGCTTTCAGTCCAGTTACAGGCAACATCGAGGAAGTTCGTTGTTCAGCCCATAAAACATGTACACTTGCTATAACATCTTTTCCACAACGTGGGGATACTGTTCCCCATACTTGAACTTTTCCTAATGCTGGCACTGAGTTTTCTGTTTTATATATTGTTATACGTAAAACATGTGCATATTTAGTTGTCACAGGTCCCTTAGAAGCTTTAATACAACATCTTAAGAAATTTGGTGGCGTGGGGATCCCTGTAGAGTCTATGTCACTTGAGTAAAACAACAAACCAACATCATGGGGACTCAGCCGTCCACTGGACATACAAGTATACGGAGTGTCGTTATCATTGGTATTCCTAAGGGAAAGCTGAAACCCCGATGACTTCTGTGACCCGACGGATGGCCAAATCAATACATGATTAATAGATATGTTGCAAAGAAACGTAATGTCTATATGAATTGGTGGCTTGATGCAGGAGTATGCCAAATATCCTTTGTAGGAATCACTTATCAAATTGGTCACTTCATATCCGTCCGTGCTGATAGCACTAGATTTAATTTCTGGACGTAAGCAAGGATCACAAAAATTCAGAAGCATCTTTCATGTAATTGTAGATCACTAATGGTATCTGCAATATCATAAAATGTACATTTTGTTCATTCATCATAAAAAATCACTGACAGCATCATACGTTTGTTAAAAGTTTAACACAAATTTTCAATGATAATTAGGTGTATATATGAATGATTAATCACAATTTTCCTTATCTTTTCCGATTCCTATTATAATCAATTATAATGGAATATGTATGTACGTTTCTTCTATCTACCATAGTTCTATCTGACGTGAATCACTAGTAAGTCAACGCGAGTCTCTTTGTATCATAAGATAAATAATTTCTTTCTTCTAGCTAAATTTATCCAGGCTAATTGATATTATTATATATATTATATATATGTGTATTATATATTTAATTATAATTATTAAAAATAGTTACATATTACAACAGAAAGAAACCTGAGAGAGGGCATAAGCGCATAAGGATCTTTTTCCTGTAACCACAAAATGCCCCCGCGGATCGCACACTATTGCCCTCTGAAGAAGTGGATGCAAACTACACAACAATATCCATTTTTTTGTCGATGTTTCTGATGAAAATAATCTGAATAAGCTGAAATCGTTGAAATCTCTGTTAATCTGATAGATTTTTTATTTTTTTTTATTTCAGCGATTTAGCGATTTATTTCCATCAGGAGCACCACAAAAAAATAGATATTGTTGTAAATTATATATTTAAATTCATAATTATGCAATATGCGAAATTTGTTGCATTCTAAAGCCGTAATTACACTACAGGCTCCCGATTCTGACTCCCGACTCCTAACTCAAAGTCGATCGAATAGAGTGATTTCTATTTTCGAGTCGGCAGTCAGAGTCGGCTGCTGCCTTGCTGTGATTGATAGAATAGGTGCATCCAGAAGCACGATCGCTCATTGAGCGCTCATTGAGCTCTTGTATCTGTTTGGTCTATATTTTTCGATCTAATGAAATATGCCAATCAGATGCAAGAGCTCACCGAGCGCTCAGTGAGCGGTCGTGCTTCTGGATGCACCCATTGATAGTCGGGAGTCCGAGTCAGTAGTCGAATCGGGAGTCTGTAGTGTGATTACGGCTTAAGAGCCATTCCACACAAACTTGCTGAGCCGCATAACCATATGCATAAAGCAAATTATCCAATCACATTTCTGTCGTAAAGACAAACGTAAACTACGATTGGATTTTCTTTATGCATATGATTTTCTGAATGCCGTCGTGTGGTCCTTGGCTCCAAAATCTCATTCCAGCGGCAAGGCAATTTTAGATATTTGTACACCCACGGTAATTGATTCTGTCCCTCGGAAATTTTCACAAAATGAGAAGTGACCACCTTTCTATATCAAGCGTCGTCTACAATACACGGAGTAAGAAGTAAGAGTAAGAAATTGACCAATCACAGTCGATTATTCTTCTCACATTCGACTGTG